GCTACTCCTCCCTTCAGTGAGCTGGAAGGAGCCTCCTCCAGACAGAGCCCTCCCCTCCCCCACCCAGGGAACACTTTCCAGTAATATGCTGCCTACTGTGGGCCAGGGGCCAAGACCAGATCCAGATTTCACCCCAAAGCCAGGACCCAGCCCAGCCCAGCCCAGCCCTGCCCTGCCCTGCCCTGCCCTGCCCTGCCTGCCTTGCCTGCCCTGCCCTGCCTGCCTGCCTGCCTTGCCTGCCCAGTACCCCTACCTGAAGTGCACCTGCTTGCTCTGCATGCTCTCCAAGGCCCAGAGATCCTGCTGCTCACTGGGGCACAGGGCCAAACTGAAGAAGAGAGGAAGGCAGGGCTACTCAGGAACACAGCTCCAGCCTGGTACCTGGGAGCGGGCTTAAGAGTTTGCTGAGCCCTCTCCCTGTCAGGAGGACGGTGCTTGTGGGCCTGGCGAGGTGTCTTCCTCCAGAACTCCCATCCTGTAGCTGTCCGTCTACCTATGATGGTGGTCTTACAGTCCAGAAAGCATGAAAACATGGCCACATTCATCAGCTCTTCACCGAGGAACTGAACCTAAGCTGCCTCCCTATCGCTAGTGCCAGGCACAGCCAGCTCAGGAAAAGTACTGGCACCTGAGCACAGGACTAATTAGCTCTCTGCTCCAGGTCTGTAGCATCTAAGCTACAGATAGGATCTTCACCTACTCATAGAAAGCCACCTCACCTTGCAGAGACCAGCTTTTCCTTCTGCAAAATGGGCACAAGCTGAGCATGGTAGGAACACTTGGGCAGGAGCGTGTCAAGCCCAGCCTGGGAAATTTAGTAATTCCTCTCTATGAATGAATGAATGGATGGATGGATGGATGGATGGACGGACTGGGGACATAGTTCAGTGCAAAAGCCCTTGGTCCAATTCCTAGAACCACAAAAAAGGTTGTAGTGGGGGAATAGCTGCCCCCAGGGTTCCTATGAAGACTGAACGTGGTGTACACGGCCAGAGCAGTGCTGGCTTGTGGGACACTGTCAGGAACAGGACGCATCCTTCAGGTTATTGTCCCTGGGTTGCTTCATTACAGGCGTTCTTCCTCCTCCACGAGGACCTGCCACCAACTTAATCTCTGCATCTCCAGCTTACTGGCACGTCTCTGTGTTACACTGCTTTTTCTTTTTATGTTTTTGGTATGGGATCTCACTATGCAGCTCAGCCTCCTAGCGATCCTCCTGTATTCAGCCTCCTCAGCACTGGGATTACAGGCATGCGCCACCACGCCCAGTCTCAATAGCAGGCTCAGTGTGCCCGGGGACAGCCAGCAGGGCACAGTGCCAGGAATCGAACCCTGGTCCCTGCGCTTGCCTAAGCAGGCCCTTAGTCCACTGAGCTATCTTGCTGGCCCTTCTTTCTCTTTAGAAAGCAGCAGTGGCAAAGTTTATTTGAGAAAGTAAAAGTGAAGAATGAGGGAGAAACTGGCTCTGTGCAGTGAGCTTGGGCTAAGTTAAAAGAGAAAAAGAACGTCCTGGAGAAGGCTAGGTGGACTGTTGTGAAGAAAGCCTTGATAGCCCCTCATACCCCTCTTCTTGGGACAGGATCTTGCTATAGATTTTGAATTCAGGATGCCTTGAACTCACTATGTAGCCTAGGCTGGCCTCAAGCTTGCAGCGATCCTCCTGGAATGCTGGGATTATGGGCGTGGCCCACATCGCCCAGCTTGGCTCTGGAGGCCTTCATAGGTTGGTTGGTCCTAGTACTTTGGGCCTGTAGTAAGGCCCACTGTGGTGGGAGCACATAGAACAGAGCCACTTACATAATGAGTCAGGGAGCAAGAAAGAATGAGATGAGGATCAGAGGCCCCACAGACCCCTTCATGGGGGCCCCAGCCCACTCTGTGACCCCCAAGACCTCCTGTTGGGTAGTAGTAAAGCTTCTGCTTCCTCCCAGTAGTACCACCCTGGGGACCAGGCCTTTACAGTATAGGTCTTTGGGGGACATTCACAATGCAAGCTTTGCAGCCATGTCTTCCTTTCTCCCCTCCAGAGTATCACGGGTCTCTGTGCGGGAGCTGTGGCACTGTCTCCCCTGCTTGTGCCTGAGCTGTCTGACCTCAGGGGGAGCTCCATTATCAGTGAGCTCCCCTCATCTTCTGGGAGTCGCCTCTAGGCAGTGACTGTGAACTGAAGGTTGTGAGAGAGGGAGGCACCAAGAAAGGTCTCTGCCCTCATCTGGGTGGACAGAGGGGCCAGGGAACACTTTGTGGAAGGAGGGGTAGAAGCACAGGGCGTTGGCCACACAGGACATTGGAGAGTACAGGAATGGTGCCCAGAGAGAAAGTAGGCTAAGCAGAGGTCTTCAGGCAGAAGAGAATGTGGCACATGGGTTGACTGCAAGACATTTGGGCCTGTGGGGAGAACAGGACTTGAGGCATGGCCAGATGACAGAGGCAGTGCTGAAAATTAGGCCTGTAGGCCTAGAGCAGGAAAGACTCGGAGCAACAAGACCTTGCTCTTCCCAGAGTACCTAAGCTGGCTGAGCACCGGTGGGCTCTCTGAAGACTCAGGGGCTTTTTATTGGAAAAGGTGACTTTTGGTTAAGTCTGTTTTGAAATCAGGAAAACACACCAAATGGATTTGAGGTCCCCTCCTGACGTAAGAGGGAGACATATCTCCCCACCCTCTCCCACCCCAACATGGTTTTCATGTCCCTGGGAGTCACTGTGCTCATGTTCTGGGCCTGGATAATGTTTTGAGTGTAAGCTCTGGCTTATAGCTTTGCGTGGGCCAGTCCATCTCCTTAAAGACATGTGGGGTGGGGTGGGCCTGTGGCTCAGTGGTGGAAAGCTTGCTCAGCATGCACCATCCACAAAACTGGGGGGAAAAGAAAAAAAAAAAAGGAAATAAAAAAAGATGTAGACCAAGAATCTCAGGGTACTGAGAGCAGTGACCTCTCCAGACAGGTCATCAGAAAGTATTATGGCTTGTGAAAGCCTCATGCAGTCATAGGTGGGGCTTTTCAGAGAGGGCTGGAGCTAGAGTGTGGTTACTAAATCAGTCCACTGATTGGATTGGCAGAGTTCTGGGAGTGGATAATGGGAAGCCACCCTGGGTGTGATCACTGCTGCCCTCAGGGTATGTAGCCTAGGTAGACTCTAAGGGATGGAAAGAGCTGCTGCTACCACTTGCGGCAGTGAGAAAAGTAACTAAGATAAGAAGCGTGCAGGGCTGGAGAGATGGCTCAGTGGTCTAAAGCACCTACTTGAAACAAGCTTGGCAAAGCACAGGGACCGCGGTTCAATCCCCCAGCACCACATGCCAGCCAGCCCCGCCCCCTGGTGGGCTGAGCTGGCCACATACACACACAATAAATGAATGTAATAAAAATAAATAAATAATAATAAAAAAGGCCTGTCATCTTTAAAAAAAAAAAAGAAGCGTGCAGATGGACAGGAGCCATCCCTGCTGCCCCAAGACACCCACCTCGGTCCTGGGTTGTCAGTCCTGGGATGAGTAGGATGACATCTGCCTTCACAGAGCTTACTGATTAGGGTGGAGGGAGGGCTTTCTGTCTGAGCAAAGTTGGCTGGGCTGACCCTGGGGATTAGGGTACTCAGCATGCAACTGGGTGCTCAGGTCTCCTCTATCCACTTACCTGCCCAAAACAAAGCAATCAAATAAAACCAAATAACTTGTAGGGAACTTGAGGCTCTGTGGTCAAAGATGGCCCTCTTTGGCAGAGGTTTTTGTTTTTTTTTTTTTTTAATAATTTTATTTTTTTTTAAATATTTATTTTTATTTATTACATTTTTTTAGTGTGTGTGTGTGTGTGTGTGTGTGTGTGTGTGTGGCCAGCTCAGCCCACCAGGGGGCGGGGCTGGCTGGCATGTGGTGCTGGAGGATCGAACCAAGGTCCCTGTACTTTGCCAAGCTTGTTTCAAGTAGGTGCTTTAGACCACTGAGCCATCTCTCCAGCCCTGGCAGAGGTTTTTGCTACCTTGATTTTGTTTGGAGGCCCAAGGTGGGCCCCGACAGAGAATGGCATGTTGCTATGGGCCAGGACTCCTTGGGGAAGTGGTTGATGGCCTCGGAGAGGCATGCAGATGCCTTGATGGGAAAGGAGGCTGGGAAACCTTGACTTTCAGAAGTAAGGAGTTTGCAGCGAGCTGAGGGACAGACCTGGTTACCTCCTGATTCTGCTGCTTAGTTGCCTGTGCTTTTGGCACAACTCCTGCCCTTTCTGAACCAGTTGCCCCATCTTCAGAGAAGGGGAAATTGGGCTAGGAATGGTGGCAAGTAGATTCTGTCTTATATGCCAAAACCCCATGTTAAGCAGCTGTCTGACCTCCACAAGGAAGCGTGTCGTGATTATGTAAAATGTCTGCCATCTGCACGTGTGGGATTAGAGGTCTCTGGATGTGCCTTGCGGATTGGCGGATCTCAGGCCTCCAGGACTAATGTTCATTGCTTCTTCTGTGCTTTCTATTGTCTCCTGTGCCACTGCTTCACCATTCACTGTCTTTTGGCTTTCATACCTCCATGACAGGGAACTCACCACCCTCCCTCAGATAGAAGCATTCGATTGTTATTCTTCTCGTGGAGCCCATGTTTGCCTCCCTGAACCTGTGCCTGGAAAGACGCCTTGGCTTCAGGTGTAGGATTATAGCCTTAGGTACTTAGTGCCTCAGTAATCAATTTATAATTTCTGCCTTCTGGCAACATACAGACTGCTGCTTTCTAATATTTTATGACAGTGGTAGAGACAGCCTGGGTATATCCTTTGAAAAGAAACACTTTAAAAACATCGCTTGTTTTATACCACAACCTTGTGAAGCTGGTGTTATCCCTTCCATTTTACAGGCAAGGAAACTGAGGCCCAGAGAGTTAACAGAGCAGCCTTCTGAGACCAAGCCGAGCACCTCTCGCCAGCTGCTCTCCTGGTCCCCAGCCCTGTCCCCAACCTTCTGCTCTCCTGGATCCCCCAAAAGCCCATGGCCTCCCGTTCTCTCGCCCTCCGCAGGTTTCCATGTGATCCCCACTATCTCAAGCATCGTCCCGGAGAGCTGCCTGCTGATCGTGGTGGGGCTGCTGGTGGGGGGCCTGATCAAGGGCGTGGGCGAGACGCCCCCCTTCCTGCAGTCAGATGTCTTCTTCCTCTTCCTGCTGCCACCCATCATCCTGGACGCGGGCTACTTCCTGCCCCTGAGGCAGTTCACAGAGAACCTGGGCACCATCCTGATCTTCGCTGTGGTGGGCACACTGTGGAATGCCTTCTTCTTGGGCGGCCTCATGTTTGCCGTGTGCCAGGTGGGCGGTGAGCAGATCAACAACATCGGCCTGCTGGACACCCTGCTCTTCGGCAGCATTATCTCGGCTGTGGACCCGGTGGCTGTGCTGGCTGTCTTTGAGGAGATCCACATCAATGAGCTGCTGCACATCCTGGTCTTCGGGGAATCACTGCTCAATGACGCCGTCACTGTGGTGAGGGGCCAGGGGCCATGCCCATACGCACACAGGGCCCAGCCCTCATTGGGTCCAGAAGTCAATCCTGCACACACACCTAATAACAGTAATAAAATCCACCAGTGCCCATGTATGCTTGCTGTGTGCCAAGCACCATGCTGAGCCCTCTGACATGAACTCTCCCACGTAATCCTCAGGACAACCTGAGGAGAGATTTACTGTCCTCATTTTATAGAGGAAGAAACAGGCTGAAAGAAGCTGAATAGCCCACTTGACTGTGTTAGGACCAGGATTTGAAGCAAGGTGATAGGACCTCTTTGTGACCAAAGCAGGTCTGTCTCGTTCCAGGGCCTGAACTCTTGGCCTTGCTAGGTCTTATGCTCCCTCCTTGACTTCCACTTTGATGTGATCCTGGCCAAAGTACTTCTTCTCCTTGTGCCCCAGTTTCCTCTTTGTGGCCCATTTCATCTCTCATGAGGGGCCTTAGCTCTCATTTGTCTGTATCTTAAGTCTAGAATTTAGTATGTGCAGAGTTTTAGGATGGAAATTATGGAAAAAGGTCATTCTTCCCTCCCCCAAATCTCCAGAGGGTTGATAAGTGAAATGAGTCATCTACTGGCTTGCTGTGTGACCATAAGCAAGTGACTCTACCTCTCTGGGCCTCATGGATGACAGCTGCAAAGTGGCAGAGTGTCAGTGCTTTCCTCTGAGGGTCTAGTGAGGGCAGGTACACAACAAAATCTGTGTGTAGTGACGCTATAGATGCCTGCGTGCATCCTCTCAGCCAGCAGTTTCCTCAGGAAACAGGTATGTGTATGTGTATGTGCACACTTGTGTCCGCCTCCTAAGCAGGGTCACTCATTGAACAGCTACACGCACAGGAAGACACAAGGATGTGCCTGCGTGCATAGTCCCCACTCGCACACATATTCCCTGCTCACCCTGGCCCTGCAGGAAGCAGCACCTCTGAGCAGCGACCGTCTGGTATTCAGCCGTGACAGCCTCGGCTTCCTCTTCCTAGGTGGCCGTTGGCCTGGTCCTCAAAGCTCTGGTGGAGCGGCAGCCTGGCCTGAGCAGGCAGGCCTTGGTCCTGGTCTCTTCTAGCACCAGCTCTTGTCCAGGGTTAGCATAGCAGTCCTGATTTCTCTACTTGTGACACAGCTCTCTCAGAACCCAGCCCATCCTCTTCCTAGAGGTTTTTGTTTTTTGTTTTTTGGGGGTTTTTTTGGTAGGGTAGAGAGGTTGGAGGTTCTGAGGATAAAACCAAGGCCTCATGCATGCTAGGCAAGTACTCTCTGCTACTGAGCCATAGCCCCAGACCCTTTTCGGGGTTCCTACTCATACTGGTGAAGTCAGTGTGGGCGCAGAGCTACTGAGAACAGTGGGTGTGCTTGTACCAAGGGGGTAAGTTGGATGCAGCGGCATCTCCCACGGTGACAGTAGTGGTAGTGATTGCGGTGGTCATCAGGTACTTCCCATCCAGCCAGGTGTGTATTGCCTTGTCTGACCCACAAGTAACTACCTTAAGTTGGCACTATAATCCTAGTTTTACAGATACAGAAACTGAGGCACCAAGTTGTATTAGATGATTACAGATATAGCTGGGGTTCATATCTGCACAGAATAGTCCAGTTCAGAGCCCAAGCACAGACCTGTGCCACCCTACCTCTTTATAGTGCCACTGCCTATAGTACCAGCCCAGAAAGGAGGACCTTGTACTCTGTGCTGCCCCCTCAGCCTATGTGGTAGACCGTGAATTCCTTCCAGCCAGGAGTCAGGTCAGGTGGCCCAGGGCTGAGAGTGTGCGTGGCTGTCTGCTGCTCGTGACCCGCCCTGTCTCGCAGACGGCTGTGGTCCAGGCAGCACCAGACCCTGACCAATGTCCCATTCTGTCCTTCCTGCCTGGCCCAAGTTGGGTCTTTTCCTGGAGCCTTGAGCATGGATGTCCTCCCCATTTCCAAGACAGCAGAGCTGCGCTTGGGCTCCCGGGAATCAGGGCTGTGCCCTGGTGCAGCTCACCTGCCATGTCTTTACTGCCTCCAGGGACGGCTCAGGTGCTGGGGGCTTTGGAGATTTCCCTGTCAAGGATTCTCACATCTTCTCTTCACTCCCATCAGGCCTGGAAACTCCCAGCTGCTTGCTGGCAGAACTGCCTAGACTGGACTGGACTTGAGTAGACCAGAGAGCCGTGGTGCCAGCTCCTAGAGCACAGAATGTCAAAGCTGAGCCTACGCAGGAGGCCTGAGTCCACAGGCTGAGTGAACAAGTTCTGGACCCCGTCCTACGGGGCTGGGGCCTTCTGCCTTGTTGTTTACCTCTCTGGAACTTAAGTTAGCAAGGGAGCAGGCAACCACAGCTGCCTACCTCAAGAGGTGGTTCAGTGCTGACTAGGCTCAAGACTGCTCAAAACTTTCCAGTGAATGAAGTGCCGTGTTGACATTCTACAGTAGCATTACAGAGACCTGCTGTTTACTAGGCCAGAAGGTGGAGGAAGCCTTAGAGAGTCTCTTGTTCCACAGCATCTGAACTTGGCTGCTCATTGCAACCACTGGGGAGTTTGTTAATGGAGATTTCTCAGCACACCCAGAGTTGAGTCTGGTATTACCTGGCCATGTGGTTTTCAGAGGTTAAGAACTGTTGTTCTAGCTCATTGTCTGAACCTCCTTGCTTTGTGCTAATCAAGAGACTGAAATGCAGAGAGGAATGAGATAGACCAATTTAGTAGTACCTGTAGCTGCTAACCCCGTCTGGGTCGTTTTACCTCTACTAACTTAATCCTTGCAACAGCCCTTCGAGATGGGCCCACTTTCTGTGCTTGCAGATGGGAAAGCTGAAGCATAGGAAATCTGAGTATTTGACTCTGGGTACACAACTAGGGAATAGCAGGGCAAGGACTCCAGCCTCCCTGCCCCACCCTTTTTTTTTTTTTTCTTTTTTCTATTGGGAGTCAAAACTCACAAGCTTATGCTTGCAGAAGGCATTGTGAGGCCCCCTGGGTTTTGTGTACCTACTTGGCACTAGGGTTTCTTTCCTATCGCTTGGTTTCTTCTTGCGACTGTAGCCCACTGAGCAGGGGATCGCCATGGTGGACCCCAGGGAACCTCGGGGCCACCCTGCCCACCCATCCACCAGCCTGCACATCTTCCCCAGGTCCTGTATCACCTCTTTGAGGAGTTTGCCAACTATGACCGCGTGGGCATTGTGGACATCGTTCTCGGCTTCCTGAGTTTCTTCGTGGTGGCTCTGGGCGGGGTGTTCGTCGGTGTGGTCTACGGCATCGTGGCAGCCTTCACCTCTCGGTTCACCGCCCACATCCGCGTCATTGAGCCGCTCTTCGTCTTCCTCTACAGCTACATGGCCTACCTGTCAGCGGAGCTGTTCCACCTGTCGGGCATCATGGCGTGAGTCCAGGCAGGCCAGGCCGTGGGAGTGGTACGGGAGGAGCCCCTGCATGGCCTCCAGGGGCTCCCCAGGGCTCGGACTTAGGCCACAGGCATAAGGCATGAGCCCCAGGCAATGACTGAGGTCCTCAGAAGCTTCCCAGAAGGGCCCTTCTGCTGGTTTCTCCGGGATTTGGGAATGTAGAGAAGAAATTCCTTGCCAGAAGCAGATGGTGCCAGAGCAGTCTGCATTGATGTTAGTCTGGCCACAGGAGGGCAGAGCCCAGGACTGACTCAGGAAAAACTTGGTCCTACTACTTCCTCCTTTTGTGTTTTTAATTTTTTTCTTTTCTTCAGACCTGGTTATTGAATTCAGGGCCTTCACACTGAGCTACATTCCCAGTCTTTTTTATTTTATTTATTTTTTTGAGACAGGGTCTTGCTAGGTTGTTTAGGTTGGGCTCAAACTTTGTGATCCTCCTGCCTCGGCCTCTCAGGGTACTGGGATAACAGGCAAGCACTATCACATCCAGTTTCTTCGTCTTAAAAGGAGTTCCACAGGTGGAGCTGGACATAGGCTCCCATGTACTCCTCCCCTAAGGCACCATTGGGGATGCACAGGGCATCTCCCTGGGCCTGAGTCTTGAGATCTTGAGGCCTCCACTGGGGCGGAGGAGGAGTGAGCTATGCAGGGGGCTTTCCTGATAAGGAGAGTAGCAGAGGTGTGGAGGCCAGGCTGGCTTGAGGATTCTGGGCAGCAGGGAGAAAGCCTGGCCAACAGGAGCAGAGCCCAATATGAGTACCAGGCCAGGAGGAAAGAAACCAGAGAGGCACAAAGGAGTGTCACTGGCACCCTTTGGACGGGCAGCGAGCATGGCCCTGGGGAGAAGGCACGGGCTGTGGAGTTGGACAGACCTTATCACTGCCATTTGCTGCAGTGTGATGCATAACAGGCAATTTTATTTCTCCCAATATCAGATCTCTCTTCTGAAAAATGGAAGTCCATTCCCAGCCCTGTGAGGCTGATGTGACGATTGAGTAGGGAACAGATGTGCAAAGGCACAGCCCCTGAGAGTTGCACAGTAATCAGGCACCTGTTCCTCCTGGCTTTGTCAGCCCTGTCAACAGAGGGCCCCTGGGAGGTGCTGCTCACCCCTGAACCCTGCTCTTTGCCGGCCCCAGACTCATCGCCTCAGGAGTGGTCATGCGTCCCTACGTGGAGGCCAACATCTCCCACAAGTCCCACACCACCATCAAGTATTTCCTGAAGATGTGGAGCAGTGTCAGCGAGACTCTCATCTTCATCTTTCTTGGCGTCTCTACTGTGGCTGGCTCCCACCACTGGAACTGGACCTTCGTCATCTGCACCCTGCTCTTCTGCCTCGTCGCCCGGGTGCTGGGTGAGGCAGGGATCCAGGCCAAGGGAGGAGTGTGTGTGTGAAGTGTGGTGTGTGGAGCAGTGAAGTTGTGAGAAGGTTGTGTGGTATGCTGTGTGTGTGATGCATTGAGAGGAGGGCCCAGGCCATGAGGTGGTGGTATGGGGGGCGGGGGTGGGGAGGAGTCTGTTCTGTTCAGAGGTCAGGCTGGGAGATGGCTATGTGATCCAGTGGGGCTGGGTGGTTATATGTATTTGAGGCGGGTATTTATAGGGGTTGGTCTGTGTGTAGGGTAGATTGTGTTTGGTAATACATGTAGGGGCTAGGGTGTGAGTATGTGGTAAAGCATGTGTAGTACATTATATGGAGGGGCTGAAATGTGGAGGATGTGGTACAGGTCGGAGTGTTGTGTGAAGAGGTTGTGAGGTGTAGGGGGTGCCCATGAATGGCTCCTGGGTGTACCCTTCTTTCCCCTCTCTGCAAAACTGATGTCATAATGGGCCCTCAAGGGGAAAGAAGCTCAGACTCCAAAGAGTCTGTGTGACTCATGGACAGCCACAGTGTGTCAGAGCGAAGGGGCTCTTGAGACCTCTGGGCCTTTTGGTTTCCTGAGGAGGGATCCGAGGCCCAGAAAACCCAGGTCCGCACCTCTGAGCCTGGGGTACGTCATTGCAGCACAGATGCCACAGGTACTTGCAGCCTGCATCCCCCTCATAGCTGCGCCACTGTGCGGGGCTGCCTGTGGGGACCAGGCCTCGGGCCGGGCCCTTGGATTCCACTTTCTTGTGCCTGGTATGCCTCATGTTGGTGGCCAAGTCGCTGCTCCTCTCAGAGCTCACCTCCCCGAGATGAGGCTGGGTGTGTGGTCCCCGGGCCTGGCTGTTTCATGTTTACTTGGTGCACTTTTTAAAATGCCCATTGTTTCTGATCCTAATCCTCAGGGAGCCTAATTTTATGAGCTAAGGTTAGAACCTGTTTACATTTTAGAATAATGTTTTATGATAGAAAATTCCAAGTACATAGGAAAGTAGAGTAGAATAATGATTCCCATGAGCGCATCATGTTCAATAAGTATCTGCTTGTCACCAATCTTGTTTTCTCCTTTCCCTTCTCCCTCCTGACCACTGGCCGCTGGAGGCCTTGGTAATGTCACCAAAGCATACCCAAGTTGGGGAACCCAATTTAAGGACCACCTTGCTTTACATTGAGGAACTTGGGGTGCACTGGGCTGAGGGGCTCAAGAAATAAGTGAACTAGGTAGTGGCTTCCTGGATACATAAGAAGGTCCTAGTAGACTCCCCAAGGTGGTAAGGACAGCCTGACCACTCTCTTCCCCACTCCCTGACAGGTGTGCTGGGCCTGACTTGGTTCATAAACAAGTTCCGCATTGTGAAGCTGACCCCCAAGGACCAGTTCATCATTGCCTATGGGGGCCTGCGAGGGGCCATCGCCTTCTCCCTGGGCTACCTCCTAGACAAGAAGCACTTCCCCATGTGTGAGCTGTTCCTCACTGCCATCATCACTGTCATCTTCTTCACCGTCTTTGTACAGGTGCTAAGCCCCCGAGTCCCTGAAAAGAACAAGAACATGCTCCAAGGGGCTGTGGACTCGACTCCAGCTTCAGTGCTACCCTGCTGCTTTCCTGTCTTAATTTTTCTCCTCACTAGACAAAATACCCAACACGCAAAGTTAAAGGAAGAAAGGTTCATTTGGCCCATAATTAGCAGAGATCTCAGTCTGTAGTCAGCTGGCTCCAAGGCATGGGAGAGGGATGGCATAGCAGGGCAGGCAGCCGGTAGCCAGTGGTGAAGTAGCAAGTGACAAGGAGGGACCCACTTTCTGTCTATATCTTATCCAGGTTACAGCCCTTAGGGTAGGCAGGGCACTCACAATCAGGGTGGGACATCCTTAATCCTATGCCAAACCACAGGCTTGACCCCAGCATCACACAGCTCTCGAGCCAGAAGCTCCAGCTGTAACTGCATGAGGCTTGGAGGGGACATGCAGACAAAAACGGTAACGACCTTGAGACAACCCATTCCGGACCCCTCCTGTCTCTCAGAGCAATTCCTATTCCCCATTCCTTTGCCTACTAAATTTTCCTACTCTTACAAGTGATCTTGAGCAAGCCACTTCCCTTTGGGGCCACATTTTTTAACTGTGAAATGAGAGTTGTCATAAGGAGTGATTGTGACATGATTGACCGGATGTGAAGTAAGCCAAGTGCTGCCCGCATTTAGGAACCATTTCAGAGATGGGGTTAAAGTCAGCAGCCCCAAGGTCTGACTGCTAGATTCGATGTAGGCCTTCAGTAATTAATGTCTTGGGGTCTCAGCTTCCTTACCTGTAAAGTGGGACTAACAGCACAGCATGGGCAGTGGGGTGGGGCTCCAAGTCACGTAGCAGGAGCCCAGAGTCAGCCTTAGCTCTGTCCCTGCCTTGTGACCCAGTGAACAGCCCATCTCTGTGTCTCCATTCCTGGCTCATGAAATGAAGGAACGGGGCTAAATTACCCCCAAGAATTCTTCCAGCTTGCTGGTCCCTGACTTCTGAGCCTTTCAGTGACCCAGGCTTAGCTGATGGCCCCACCGCTGCCCCTAGTCCCCAGGGAAGCCCAGGCTGTGCTTACTGTACCTGACTGAGCTTGGGCAGGTGTGAAGCTCTGCCATGGCCTCCATAGCTTTCCCATCACTTCTGCCTTCTGTCACGCTTCCATCTAATCCTCTCTGAGCTCTAGATGGAACATATGTTTGTCTTCTTAAGAGAAAAAAATACAGGGGAAACCTGAGGCTATGCGTATTTCCTGTCTCTTATTTTTTGAGACAGGTCTCACTGTGTAGTCTAGGCTGGCGTTGAACTCACTATGTGGCCCAAGCTAGGCTTGAACTTGGGACAGTCCTCCTGCCCCAGCCCCGCCCCTCTCCCCCCAAGGAGAGGGAGCTACCTCATTTTGTCATTCTGCCCTGCTTCCATCATCAATTGTTTCAGGGCCAGGTATGGTGGCGCATACCTGTTGAGGCAGGAGGATCACCACAAATTTGAGGCCAGCCTGGACCACATATCGAGACCCTCTTCTCAAACAACACAAAACAAAAACTTGTTTCTCTCTGACGCTAGTTGTGCACACTGATGGCTTTGCAAACTCATTTTCACTGAAGGCAGTCCTGGGGTAGGGATGCCCCTCTGGAGCCAGCCTGCCCAGGTTTCAGTCTTTGCTTTACTACATTGGGACCTTACGTGGTTGCTTACTCCAGGGCTGACTTTAGCCCTCCTCTGAGCCTCAGTTTCCTCTGTCAAATGAGAAAAGTAAGAGTTGTTGAATTGTTGTAGACATTAAAGAGCTTACACAAGGGAACCTTATAACCTGGTCCCTCACCTGACAAGTATGCAGCTAAATTAGCCCCTGCTGTTGTCTCCAGGTCCTCCCAGCAGCCTTTGTGGGAGGCAGAGCAGAGGTGTGTCTCCCTTACTGTGAGGGTAGGGAGGGTGACGCGTCAGATTGCAGAGCCAGTCCTGGAGTCTCCATTTGAACCCAGGTCCCACCTAGGTGCCCACTGAGGGTCGCTAGGTTAATTAGGTTATTAGACCTCTGGCAGTGTCTGCAGGGAGAAGCCGACTTTAAGGACCTGACTTTGTGTAAGTGCCAGGATAGAGGTGGGGAGAACAGCCAGTCTTCAGACCTCAATGCAGAGAGACCATCCTCGCCCAGTCCCTGGGGATGGGGGAGGGGGAGCGTGAGAGGTGGGTAGCAGAACCCCAGTACCTGACAGCCGCCTGTGCCCCCAGGGCATGACCATTCGGCCGCTGGTAGATCTGTTGGCTGTGAAGAAAAAGCAGGAAACGAAACGCTCCATCAATGAGGAGATTCACACACAGGTACTGGAAGCTGGGGCTGGGCCCTCAGTGGTGGGAGGAGGCTTGGCGCTGGGGAGCAGCTGGGCTTCAGCCTCCAGTTATCTCTTCCATGTTCCAGGACACGGTGGTCCATTGATCTCTTGAGGGTCTGGCCACTAGGGAAGGAGGCCAGGGGGGTGTTACATTATATCCTCCTCTGGCTGGAACCTGACACAGGTGTGAGGCAGGTGTTCTTTCAACTGGGTTCAGAGAATGGGACTCAACTGGCTCTCTGGTAGAGGGTGTAAGGGACCTGATCCGTTCAGGATGATGGGGGATGAGTGACACCTGCTGGCTACTCGTGGAACTACAGGGCCAGGCTGAGCAGAGACAACAGGGTGGACAGTGGGGTGCTTTCAGGAGAGTCAGGTTATGCAGAGTCCAACAGTGAGGCTTACCTGGCCCTGGGCCTGTTTCAGTTCCTGGACCACCTTCTGACAGGCATTGAGGACATCTGTGGCCACTACGGCCACCACCACTGGAAGGACAAGTAGGTAGCAGGCCTGGTTGGGAGGGAAGTGGGTAGCTAAGGGGGGGTGCCCCTCATGCCCGGCGTCTCCCTGCACCTAGGAGCTTGCTCCATCCAGTTCCCTCCTCCTCCTACCAGGCTCAACCGCTTTAATAAGAAGTATGTGAAGAAGTGCCTGATAGCCGGCGAGCGCTCCAAGGAGCCTCAGCTCATCGCCTTCTACCACAAGATGGAGATGAAGCAGGCCATCGAGCTGGTGGAAAGTGGGGGCATGGGCAAGATCCCTTCCGCTGTCTCCACAGTCTCCATGCAGTGAGTGCCACTGGCCAGTCTGGGCAGTGCTCATACCACATCCCAACCCTCAACCCCAGCTGGGGGTGGGGTGGGGGAGGACTCTGTTGTCCTGTTGCGGAGGGAATGGGATCTTCGGGGCCACACTAAGGGCCTGAGGCTTTCGCTTTCGCTTGGGCCATTCCAGCATGGTCCTAGACCAGCCCCAGTAGGCTGCAGGGTCGCAAGAATGTGGCCCTAAGCTGCGTCCTGTTGTCCTAGGAACATCCACCCCAAGTCCCTACCTGCTGAGCGCATCCTGCCAGCACTGTCTAAGGACAAGGAGGAGGAGATCCGAAAAATCCTGAGGAACAACCTGCAGAAAACCAGGCAGCGAGTGAGACCCCACCCCACACCCTGCGCCCCACTCGGAGGGCACTGCTGTCCCCTTCCCTTCCCTCGGAAGCCTTGGCCTCCACTGTCCTGCACTGACAGCTCTTCCTCCCTCAGTTGCGGTCCTACAACAGACACACACTGGTGGCTGACCCCTACGAGGAGGCCTGGAACCAGATGCTGCTCCGGAGACAAAAGGCCCGGCAGCTGGAACAGAAGGTGTGTGCCAGCCTGGAGGCCAGACCTTCCTTCCTGGGGAGCCTGGGATATTCCCATGCCTGTACCCTCAGTGCTCCACCAAATCCCTCTAAGGAAATGAACCCATTCTTAAAACAGAGGGGCTTGGGGAAGCTTGTTGGCAGTGTGGGATAATTGTTACCCCAAATTAGGGCTATGGTAGGGGAGAGTGGAGGAGTGGGTATGTTTAAGGACACTAAGGAAGTAGAACTGGTAAGACTTGGTCATCAGTTTGAGGTGGGGCAGAGGGGAAGGAAAGAGCCCACAGTTACATCCGGGCTCCTACAGTACTTGGGATAATTGAGAGTAATGGCTGTCACAGGGGATCCTAAGGAAGGGCCTAGGTGCCCCTCTTCTTAGCTTTTTGGTCTGGAACTCAGAGGGCAGGTGTGGGCTGGAGCTGCCAGCTGGGGCAGTGAGGGAATATTTGAGGCTCCTCAGGTAGATGGTAGACCTGGGACAAGTCCCCAGGGGTCCTCCAGGTTCCAGTATGGGTGGTGTCCAGAGGGCTGCACCCCACCAGGCTGCCATGTTCACCCTGTCTGTCCTTCCTGTCAGATGAACAACTACCTGACGGTGCCTGCCCACAAGCTGGACTCACCAACCATGTCTCGTGCTCGCATTGGCTCAGGTAAGGCCTGGAGTGGGACCTTGGGGCTGGACACAGCCTGCTGGGCCTTAGACAGGAAGTGGCCTCAGAACCAGCAGGCAGGACAGGCCTCATGCTTTCTGTCTCCTCAGCTCTTCCCAAGCCATAACTGTGTCAGTGTCAGGTGGAGCTACAGATGGACAGAGAGCCCTGCTCTTGTCCCTAGGCACAGAGGTGTCCCAGGTGGGGCTCAGTGAGGTCTGTGCTGGAGCCAGGGGCAGGTGGGGTGCCTGACAAGGAGGCAGGGGCAACAGAGAGGGGCCACCGCATAGCTCTGGGTCCCAGGGGCAAGCCACAGCTCAGGAGTGAGCCCTGATTCTTAACCAGCATCTTGGGGCACCTGCTCACAGTCTGAGAGAAGCTTGGGGCGGGGCTCCTCAGGTCCAGGTCGACTGAGTAGTTTTTTGTGTTTGCTGAGCAGAATAACATTCACCATGGGGAGTTGTACAAATACATAACACATCGTAATTCTTTCTGTGTTTCCTTGCCCCTCCCTCTTTCTTTCTCCATCTGTAGATATCCGTCCTATGCAAAGGCTCTGTTTCCCTGTTTCATACTATCTTTTATTTTGCTCTTTAAATTACTTATTCTTCAGGTTTCTCATATGAGAGAATGCCATATTTAAGCTTGTGTGTCTGATTTAGTTCACTTAACATTATGGAAAAACAAAAATCAGTATGGTCTCCATGAGGAGGCTGAGACAGGATGATCACTACAAGTCTGAGCTGTGTAGTGAGACCCTGTACCAAATATATCCATAAAGCAAACCAAAAAACCATTATGGTCTCCAGGTGCATCCCTTTTCCTACACATGCCTCGTGTTTATCCTTCTCTATGGCAGAGCAACGCTCCATTGTATCTATAGTCCACATTGTCTTCATCCGTTCATCTGGTAATGGGCAGCCAGGCCACTTCTAACACTGAGCTGTTGTGAGTTGTGGCGCAGTAACCATGGCTGTGCATGGATTGCTGTGGTGTGGTGTCTTAAATTCTTTCCAGAAGGTACCTATCAGGGGACAGTTAGTTCTGAAGCCCATCCGATGGCTGCACTTGCTACAAGTCTCTGGGAATTGCTGCTGGGGGCTGGGGGCCCTCCAGGTGGAGCCCCTGCTGGGCGGGACTCAGGGCTGAAAGTAGCCTATGCCTGTTCTCGGTCTCCAGACCCGCTGGCCTACGAGCCGAAGGCAGACTTGCCGGTCATCACTATCGACCCAGCCTCGCCACAGTCGCCTGAGTCTGTGGACCTGGTGAACGAGGAGCTGAAGGGCAAGGTCTTGGGGCTGAACCGGGATCCAGTCACAGTGGCCGAGAATGAGGATGATGACGACGACAGGGGCATTATGATGCGGAACAAGGAGCCTTCATCCCCAGGCACTGACGACGTCTTCACCCCTGGGCCGAGTGACAGCCCTAGCTCCCAGAGGATACAGCGCTGCCTCAGTGACCCAGGCCCCCACCCCGAGCCTGGGGAAGGAGAGCCTTTCATCCCCAAGGCACAGTAGCACCAGGGCAGGGGTGGCGCCCATCCCACCACAGACTCCCACCAGAGCAGGGGCTGGAAGGGACCTGGGGGACTCCCTTCTAGCTTCCTGAGCTGGACTGGTCCTGCCCTACCCCCACCGCATGGCAGCTGGGCCCACAGCCCCCACGCAGCACGGCTTCCCCTGCCTCCTGGGAAGCGGCCCCTGATCCACCGGAACTGCCTTCCCAATCCACTTGGCAGAATTGCTGGGCTCGTGATCTAGACCCTGCCCTTGCCCAGATCCAGGCCCTCTCACATCGGACCAGGGCCCAGACCAGAGTCTCCCGGCCACAGAGCCCCTGCCTCCATCCATCATCTACCTGTTCAGACCAACTTTACTGGAGAGCCTCAGGCTCCACTGTGGTCCTATCCAGGAGAGGAAGGAGCTGGTGCCCTCCTGGCCCTGGCCAGGCTCTCCTTTATCAGGGGACACACCAGGCACAGGCAGGTGGCTGGGGGAGAATTCAGTGGCCCGTGGCAGTCCCACCCACTTGCCAGCCCCCTGAGCCATCCCAAGAGCTACAGGCTGAGGGTTTCTCTGTGGAACTGGGATTCTTGACAGTGGAGTGACTTGAGGGACAGGGACCACTGGCCCTGCTTAAGGCTGCTTCCCAGGAAGGGACTGTCTGGGGCTGTAGAAAGTGCTGCCTTTTTGTGTTTTGTTTGTCCTTACTTCCATGTATGAACTTGTTTGCACAGAGGCACTCCTGTATTGAGTGTTGGAAAAGTCCTAGTCTGTTGGGGCTTTGGCCCTCTCAGCCCTCCTCATTTGTGCCTGTTGGCCCAACATCCCCCCCTTCCAAGTTGGTCTTTTGCCTGCTGGGCTTTTAGCTCCAGTCTCAGACATGGCCCTGGCCTGGGCTGCTCAGTCTCACAGGTGCAAGGCCTCCTGGAACCTCCCTTGCTCCTTGTTCCTGGCCTTCACTTCCTGCTGGGCTGCTTTTTGGATTCTTTGGTTGGTTTTTGGTGGTTCTGGAGATTGAACTGAGGGCCTTCTCACTGAGCTACCTCCCCAGTCCTCCCCCTTTTTATTTTTATTTTTTGGTACTGGGAATCGAACTCAGGACCTTGCACTTGCCAGCCAGGCACTTGTGCCACTGAGCTATATCCTGGTATTTTATTTTTTTTAATTTTTAAGACAGGGCAAGTTGCCCACCCTGGGCTCAGACTTGCAGTCCTGCCTCCACCTCCTAATGCTGGGGTAGTAGGCACACGCCATGCCCAACTGGCCTTCTTACTCCCTTTCACCAAAGTTCTCCCTCGTGTGCACAACCAGCTTGCTGTGGAGCCCAGCACCGGGGAGGAGGCCTCCCCTGTGGGTCTCTTGCCTCAGCTGGAATTGCTGGCGTGGACAAAGTCCTGGGTCACCAGAGGCCTTGCTCGCAGGCACATACTCCCCACCCTCACTGCCACCAGGGCCAGGCCCAGGCCTGTGGGCAGCATCCCCCTGGACACTCCCTCAGGATCGTGCAATAGAATGTCCCTTTTCCAGGAGACAGGAACATGGGTGCTCTGCTCATGGGTCTATCTCCTCTCCATTGCAAGTGCTGTTTTGGGCAGGAGTCACCACACAGGTGACATTGACAACCATGTACAAAGCCACTGCAGCTGCTGCCGCTCTGCCGCCTGTACAGAAAAAAACTGAAATCTTTTTCATATTCTAATAAATCAATGTGAGTTTTTGACAGAGTCTGGGGCTGCTTCTTGGGATCAGGGGCTTCAGAAAGGAGAGGACCCTGAGTTGCTAAGCTCAAGGCCTGACTCAGAAATGCTTAGCTAGGGGCTGGTGAGATGGCTCAGTGGTCTAAGGCACCTACTTGGAACAAGCTTAACAAAGCACAGGGACCGCGGTTCAATCCCCCAGCACCACATGCCAGCCAGCCCCGCCCCCTGGTGGGCTGAGCTGGACACACACCCACACCCACACCCACACACGTAAATAAATAAAATTAAAAAGTGCTGAGGTAACCAGCAGGGTCTCTAGAGATCCTGGATGTTCTCTAACATCCTGGGATCTGAGGAAAGACCTGTGTGGCTGGGTTTTAGTGACAGCAGGAGAGGCAAGGTTGGGATTTTGCCATCCATGATCAAGCTTTTGGTTCTTGCTGGGCATGGTAACACGTGCCTGTAATCCCGGAACTCTGCAAGACTGAGGCAGGAGGATCATGAGTTCAAGCCCAACCTGGCCAACAGAATTATTAAAATCCTGTCTCAAAAATAAATGACTGGGGATGTATCCCCAGTCAGGGCACTGGGTTCAATCCTCAGTAACACGTAAACACAAAGATTTGGTTCTTAGACTAAAGGCAGTGGAAAGTCGCTGAAACCCTGCGTTCTCCTCTGAAATGGAGACCACAATCTCTGGATGAAACGTGCTCTGGACCATTTGGTGCCCTTCCAAGAGCTGACCACCAGAGGGCCTTTGCGTGCACGCCAGTCTCCTTGGGACCTGGGCCCCTGAAGCCTGGGACCTGAGTGTAGAGCTGGTTCATGAAGTCTGAGGTGGACACTGGCATACAGACCGTTAAGGAGAGGTGACGCTGTGTCTCTGGTCTCAGCGGGGAGCAGATGGTACATTCAGGGTGAGGGCAGGTTATGGGCACCTACCTGGGATGGGCCCACAGGGCTCACTCAGGAAGCTGTTACAACCATGAGAACTGAAAGGACAAGAGCTGGGATGGACAGCCCACCTTGGCCCCTGCCAGAGTGCATGACGGATCCGTTAAACGTTCTTTTTTTGGTCCTGATGGTACCTCCATTGGCAAACTCCACCTGAAAGCTGGAGGGGAAAGCAGTCCTGTGCATGAATTGAGAAGAGAGAAGAGAGAAGAGACCTAGCAGAGCCACTTCTTTGTCTCTCAGTATCTGTTGACCTTGGATGAGAAAGACATGGCCCTGTGGCCTCTTGGTTACAGAATTTCTATTTGACACGATGAAAGGGTATTGATAATAGTCTGTGGTGAGGGTTGCACAACATTCTGGATGTAGTAAAATGTTGAATTACTCACTTTAAAGGGGTTGATTTTATGCTGTGATGCAAATTTTGCCTCAATTTTTCTTTAATGGAAGAAGAAAAAGAAGAAAGAAAAAATCCTCCACCTCCCTGACAGCAACACAATTTCATCCACAGCAGATCCTTGGTCGTCTTTCTGTCATCCTTCCTTGGAGTCTGACATAAAACAGATATCACCCAACTCTTGAGGTGAACAGGGTGGGAAACCACAGCAGCGAACTACTTCCGCCCCTACCTGGTGGTGGTTACAAGGCCTAAGATACCAATCACCACATCATCTTTCCTCTCCCTTTCCACATTCCTCTTCCCGGGGACCAGCACCCTGGATGTTTTTTTGTTTGTTTTGAGACAGGATCTTGCTGTGTAGTTCATATCCTCCTGCCTCAGCCTCCCAAGTGCTGGGATTACAGGCATACACCATCACACTTGGCTGATTAGGGCTGTTATTTGGTGTCCTGAACCTTTGTTCCCTTTGAGCAGTTGAGCCTCTGGCTGCTCTGATGTTTCCTGGGTTCCCGTTTCCCACTAACCAGCATGATTAGACACGAGAGAACCGGAGGCGCCCATGAATCCTCCAGGCTCCAGTGTGAGGTCTCCTTCCCTACCACTGGGTAGCAGGAACTTACTTCCCCCTTGGTAGCCCACACTGATCACCCTAACTGGTCCAGCTGACCTCTTGTCTGCTTTTTGATTAATTGACGCACATAGCCCAAAAATGACTAGGGGTAGGAGGACGCCCCTAACTTAAAGCCACCATGACTGTGTCCCCTGGAGGAAATATTCCTCTTTGGGCATTAGGGACTCCAGACCCACAGTGAAGGGGATAGAAAGCAAATGGCCCTTTGTCATTTGGAATAATAGTGAAGGAAAAAGATACCTACCCCTAAGTCACAGAGCCTAGTGCCTACCCACCAGCAAGCGGCCTGAGGGTGTGCTGTCCCCGAGGGCGCTGTTCTGCTGCTCTAGGCAGTGCTTGTGGCTCTAGAGCAGAGTGATCCTTAGGTGAGACCTTGGCCGTATGGAGGGCTTTCAGCATAAAGTGGAGCTGGGGCGGCGACGCATGGGATGGCGAGTGATGAACGAGGCCTTGTGTGGCATGCAGAAGTGACAGTGCTGGCGGAGCCCTGGGGTGAGGAAGGGCGTCGAGAGTCGGGGCTATGCAGCTGCTCCCTTGGAGAAAGGGGTGTCTGTGGGACCAGCCTCCACCAGGTAGTGAGCTGCTCCCCCGGGGCAAGGTTCTTAGAGCCTTCAACTCTTAGAAGTTGTCCAGGATCCCGAAGGATTTGTTTGTATGAGCTATCAATTTTATTGGGTTAGAAATTAAAATTTTAAAATATGAATTTCTTTCAAATGAGTAAACCCCATCACGAAATAAACCATTTCATATTCATATAAAGTTTTTAATGAAAATAAGCCTTCAAAACAGAAATGATGAGACGAGGATCATTCATTGACGGCCTGGCTTAAGAGAAGACAGCCACCTTCTCAAGTCCCCAGCGTTCCATCTGCTGTGCACTTGTCGTGTCGCCTCTGAGACACTGCGTGATGCTCTCTTGGAAGAGTGGCAGTAAAAAAGGTGAATGTGTCTTAGTATCAATATGAAACTAGACTTGCTCTCATTGAACTCTGGAAAGAGACTTGGAAAGCCCAGTAAAGGGTGCTATACAGAACACTCAGCCTGGTCTCTTCCTGATGGCAATTTGGACATGGGTCTCATTGGGCTAAAGTCAAGGTGTCAGCCAGGTCTGCATTCCTTCCTGGAGAGGGTCAGTAGGATCCCTTTGGAGACCCCTGCTGCTTTCAAGGCCAGCCGCTGAGGACAGTCCCTCTCCCACCTCATCACTGTGACCCTGGCTCTTCTGCATCCATCTTTGAAGACCTTCGTGATTACCTTGGGACCATGTAGATAATTCAGGTGAATCTCTTGTTTTCTTGACAGGGTCTCATTAGGTAGCCCCAGCCGGCCTCGAGCACATGGAGATTCTACCTCAACTTCCTGAGTGCTGGAATCGCAGGTGCATGCCTCCACATTCAGCTAGAATCTCCCTATTTTTATTTTTTTATTTATCATTATATTTATGTATTTGGTATAAGGCCTCACTACACAGCTCAGATTCATAGTGATCCTCCTGTTTTCAGCCTCCCCAGTGCTGGGATTACAGGCATGAGCTACCACAACTAGCTTCTGGGTCAGCACAGTGCATCTGGGGACAGGACTAGTGCGGCATGTGGTGCCAGGGATCGAACCCTGGTCCCTGCGCTTGCCCAAGCAGGTGCTTAGTCTGTTGAGCTATCTGGCCAGCCTATTCCCCCTGTTTTTTTTTCTCTTCGAATGCCTTCAGGGCACTTTTGGCTGGCTGTAGGGTTGTGGGGATCGAACTACAACAACCTGAGGCTGACAGCTTTGTGGAAGTAGCCACTTAAAGAACTGAGCTAGGGCCAGGCCCCCTCCCCCTATTTTTAAAGTCAGCTGACCAGCCAACTTAATTCCATTGGCTACCTTAATTCCCCCTTTTTCATATAACACATAACCTATTTGCAGATCACAAGGGTTAGAGTGTGGACATTTGGCAGGTGGGTTTATTATTCTGCCTATAACAGCATGTGTAACCCTGTCCTTGTCACCTTGGCTTCTGGGTCCACTGACCAGGAACCTGTATAGCTAGAGAAAGAAGCTGACATCTTGACCATCTAGTTGGTTTTTGTTGTTGTTGTTTTGTATTTTAGGCAGGGTGTTCAGGGTCTCACTCCTAGAAGTGTTTTTTTTTTTTTTTTTTGCTCGGAATGCCTTCAGGGCATGATTGGCTAGCTGGAGTTGTGGGGATCGAACCACAGCAACCTGAGCCTGACTGCTTTGTTGAAGCAGCCACTTAAAGAACTGAGCTAAGGGGCAGGCCCCCAGGGTCTCACTACTAGATCGGACTCCTAATGTTCCACCTGTTTACAGCCTCCCAAGAGCTGGGATTACAGGTGCGCCACCACACCCAGACTCAATTGCTGTCTCAGCGCACCCCCGGGATCGAACCCCAGGCCCCCGCACCTGCTTGCAGGCCCTTTAATCTGCTGAGACCATCTAGTTCTAAAGCAGCTCTTGCACAGTGGATGCGCTTAGAGCATCCGTGTGGGTTTAAATAGCTTTACTACTTATACCTGTCTCAAGAGCCCATATTTCTCCTGACAGCTTCCCTGGCTTAGCCACTGCCCACTGCCATCGTCAGTGCCGATCTGTACCTTGGGTTATCTTCCACACCAAGTGGACCCTTCATATAGCCAGAGGTCTGCTCCTTGGGAGACCGTCCCCCCTCCTTCCCTCCCTCCCTGTGCTCTGGGGACACCCTGCATGTGGCTGCAGTGCAGCTTTTGGGATTGAGCTAACACAACATGCAGACCTGTTTGGAAAGCCTGCCTGCTCTTCCCTCTGTATTATCAAGTGACAGCATCTTCACCACCTGTGGACTGAGGGAGAAGCAGAGAAGTGATAAGAGTAGGAACCAGGGGACTTTGGATCACCTGCTCAAGCAGTTTCCTCATGTCCTCTGGGCTTGCTCAGACCTGATCCCATAGATGCTACTTCATATTAGAATGCCACTGTGCGTGTCCAATTTTATGAGAAGATGGCTCAGATAATTTCCATCTCTGATTGCTTGGCTCCCTCAGTGTCCCACAGACAGAACTCTCCCTACCATGTCGAGTGTTAGTTTTTTTTAATGGAGAACAGTTGTTACAAAGGAGGGCATAGATTTGATCCAGAGCCCTACACATCTGCCTATGCCTTGAGTCTGCCACTGGGACCTGGGCCTGCTGCAGCTTTTCCTGCTGTGGCTGCTTCCTGGTGATGGTTCTCATGCGAGAGGCAGCGTGCTCTGCAGCCTGCCCCTGCTTCCGTGCCTTCTCTCCCTCCAAGCCTCACTCTACACTTAGACTTATAGGTGTTTTTATTAAATGGCTACAGCAGCACAGCTGAGTGGGACCTACATTGCTTCACAATTCAAGAGCCTTGCCAAAGTCTTACTTCTACGTTCTTTATAGTGAGCATTATAAGGTTTGGCAACTTATTTCTCGTTTTAGAAGAGAAATCCTAACATGCCCTGGACCACTGGATCCCTTAGAGGCTTCACAGACATGGTAGCCCCTGAGTTTCTATGGGATTAATCCCCCTTCCTTTTGCAAATATGTTTCACTAAGAATCTAGTTCACTGGGTCCAATTACCATTATGCCATCAATATGACGGGTAAGCATAATATTTTGCTTTCTTTTCTCTCTGTCTCTGTCTCTGTCTGTTTCTGTCTCTCTGTCTGTCTGTCTGTCTGTCTGTCT